TATGACAAAATGCTTAGCATCACTAATCATTAGGGAAAGGCAAATCAAAACCACAATGAGATATCACCTCACTCCAATTAGAATGACTGTTATTAAGAAGGCAAAAAATAACAAATTCTGTCAAGAATGTGGAGAAAGGGAAACTCGCATACACTGTTGGTGGGAATGTAAACTAGTACAGCCATTATGGAAAACAATATGGACATTACTGAAAAAAAAACAAAAATAGAATTATCACTTGATAGAGGAATCCTACTGGGTATTTATCCATAGGAAAATAAATCAGTTTATCAAAGAGATATTTGCAATCATGTTCATTACAACACCGTTCACAATAGCCAAGAGATGGAATCCATTTAAGTGTCCAACAAGTGAATCAATAAAGAAAATGTCATACATATACAAATGAAATACAATTCAGCTGTAAAAAATAATGAAATCCTGTCATTTGTAGCAATATGGATGAATCTGGAGAACACAGTATTAAGTGAAATAAGCCAGGTACAGAGAGGCAAATGCTGCATGATTTCACTAATATGTGGAATCTAAAAAGTGTGTCTCAGAAATAGAGAGTAGAATAGTAGCTAGCAGAGGCTCGGCAGAGAAAAGGAAAGATGAATTCACAGGGATTATTTTCCCAAAAATTTAAAGAATTAACATCAATTTTACCCATCTCTTCCAGAAAATAAAAGTTGAAAGAACACTTTAGAACCCACTTCACGAGGCCAGTATTACACTGATACCAAAAGCAGAAAAAGACTGCATAAAAACAGCAAACTACATACCAATATAAATTTATAAACTTTGAAACAAAAAAATTCAACAAAATATTACCAAATTCAATTTAGTGATGTGTACAAATAATTACATGTCATGATCAAGCGGAATTTATTCTAAGTATGCAAGGCTGGTTATCCATCGTATCAACAAGGCAAAAGAGAAAAATCATATCAATAGAAATAAAAAAAATTGTAAATCCAGAACTCTTCATGTTGAAAACTCTCAGTAAGTTACAAATAGAAGGGAACTACATTGATAAAAAAACTTTTACAAAAAACATACAGCTAACATCATACTCACTGGTGAAAACTGTTTGTTCTCCCCTTAAGATTGGGAACAAAGTAAAGATGTTCACTCTCACCACTCCTATTCACCAGCGTATAGGAAGGTCTAGCTAGTGCAATAGTCAAGAAATAGAAATAAAAATCATAAAAATTAGAAGGAGGAAATGAAATTGTCCCCATTTTCAGATAACATGGTTGTCTATGCAGAAAATTTCAAGGAATCTAAAAACAAACAAACAAACAAACAAACAAAAAAACCACATTCCTGGAGCTAAGAGGTAAGTTCAGCAAGGTTGCAGGATGTAAGATCAACATATTTTATATACTACTAATGAACTGTGGAAACAGAAATTTAAAACACAATACCATTTACAATAACTCCAATGTGATTGCAAATACTTACAACCTTAGGTATGCTCTTAACAAAACATTTACAAGAGCTGCACAGTGTAAGAAATATTTAGATATACACTTAAAATATTTATAGGATCTGTACACTGAAAATTACAAAATGCTGATAAAAAAATCAAAGAAGATCTAATAAATGGAGAGACATTCCAGTAAGTGGATTAGAAGACTCAACGTAGTAAAGATGTCAATTCTCCCACATTGATAAACAGGTTTAATGCAATTCCAATCAACTTCCCATCAAGATTTTCTGTAGAGATAGACAAACTTATTCTAAAATTTATATGGTAAGTCACAAGCCCTAAAATAGGTAAGACAATTTTGAAGTGGAAGAATAAAGTATAAGGAATCACCCTCTGCAGTATTAAAGCTTATTATTATTTTCAAGTATGAAAATGAACATTTATTTAGCATGAGAAGGAATTGCAATAAATAATAAATTCTAAAAGGTTGAAAATACCATAATCATCACAAAAATTTTTTAAATCCAATATTTATATTAATTAACTTCCTGACACACTTCTATAATACATTCTCCCTACAGTTTTTAATTGCTTTCTCTTTAATTGCCTCCCTTATGAGAATTGTTTTGTTATATTTTCTATGGTGAGAAATGAAAAGCAATTATATTAAAGCTTATTATTGGCCACAATAATCAGGAGTGTGGACTTGGTGCAAAAATACACATATAAATTAATAGAACAGAACAGAGAACCCAGAAATAGCCCCACACGAATATGCCCAACTAAATTTTTACTAAGATGTAAAAGTAATCCAATGGAGAAATATCAGCCTTTCAATGAATAATGCCAGAGCAATTGGACACACATGAGTAACAACCACACACACACACAAAATAGCCTTGACCTAAACCTCACAACTTATGGAAAAATTAACTCAAAATGGATCATGGAGTTAAATGTAAAGCATAAGACTATGAAACATTTAGAAAAAAAAAAGAGAAAAATCTCTGTGAACTAGAGAGAGGCAATGAATTCTTAAAAATAACAGAAAAAGCACACTCAATAAAATTTTAAAAATTAGTAAATTGGACCTCATCAATATGAGTAACTTTTGCTCTGTGAAGTACCCCATAAGAGGATGAAAAGCCAAGCTAGAGTGAAAGGAAATATTTGCAAACCATGCATTTCACACAAAGGACTAGCATTTAAAATATATAAAGAACTCTCAGAACTCAATAGTCAAAAACAAACAGTCCAATTAGACAATTTGCCAAAAAAAAAAAAAAAAAAGTAAAGAGACATTTCATCAGAGGATAAACAGGTGACAAGCACATGAAAAGATGTTCAGTTTCATTAGCTATTAGAGAAATGCGAACTAAAGCTATAATGAGATATCACTACACATCTATCAGAATGGCTAAAATAAAGCATACTGACAATATCAAATGCTGGTGAAGATGTGGGGAATCTGGATCATTTGTACATCACTGGAGAGAATATAAAATGGTACAGTCACTCTGGAAAACAATTTAGCATTTTAAAGACAAAACTAAACATGTAACCACTGTGAGATCCAGCAATCACTTATTGGATAGAATGCCAAGTCTCTAAATAAATGGAAATTTTTGTGCACATAAAAACCTATACATGAATATTCACAGTAACTTTATACACAAGAGCCAAAATCTGTAAACAACCTTGGTATCCCTCAGCAGGTGAATGGTTAGACAACCTGTGGCACATTCATACCATAGAATATTACTTAACGATAAAAGGGAATTAACTATTGATACACACACGTTGGATGAAATTTGACAGAATTATGCTGAGTGAAAAAACAACTGCCAAAGATTCCATATGTGTGACTCCATTTATATAACATTTTGAATTGATAAAATTTTTTAAATAAGTGGAGGACAGATTAGAGGTTGTCAGGGTTCAATGACAAGGTGAGTTAGAGCAGCAGGGAGGTAAAGATTGTAACAGAGAGGTTCTTGCGGTGACGGAATTATTTTGTATCTTGACTGAATTTACAGGTAGTGGTCATAGGAACCTACACATGTGATAAAACTGTATAGAACTAAATACACACACATATACACACAAATGAGTACAAGTAAAACTGGGAAAATATAAAGATTCGTGGATTATATCATGTCAATATTCTGGTTGTAACACTATTATAGTTTTGAAGATGTTACCATTGGAGGTAACTGCATGAAGGGTACAGGCCATCTCTCATTAACAGTTCTTACAACAGCATGTGAATCTACAGTTCTCTTAAAATAAAAATCAACAAGCCTACAAAGCAGAGCTTTCTCCTGCCTTTCCTCCTCCAAACCCCCAGCTAATTGTTAAATATTTACCAGCATGTAGAACCACTTATTTTTGGAGAAAGGATTTTGTGTTAGTGAAGTTCATTGCAGTTTTTTCTTCCCCGAGTGCCTGACAGAGACTAACAGGTGGCTGGAGACAATAGAAAAGCCTGTGGCCTTGGGAGAGTATTTCTACTTCCCTTGGCCTCAGTTTTCCTTATCAGTAAAACAGAAATTAGTACTAGAGGGAAGTAAAGTGAACACTTATAGCAAACCTATTTTTGACTCCTTCCCTTACCCTCTCAGAAAAGCCCATTGAACTATGCATTATGAGTCTCCATGTTACGTACAAGGAATCAGAGGCCGAGAGGCATGCCCACCGCAGAACAAAGCCAGAATTGGAGTCCAAAGTCCCGGTACATTTCTTTACTGCTTGCTACCTGGAAGCCAGTCTAACTCCCCGACTCTAAATCCTTCAAGATGGCCTCTCCTGGTGGAAGCTGAGTTGGGTATAGAATGGCTGATCCTCTGAGTGGAGAGGGCTGGAAAAAATCCAGCTCATCCCCAGCCAGTAGATATGATTGCACCAGAAGCCACAGACCTCACGAGGCTGGCCTCCCTCCATTTACACCGCAGAGCTACCACGCAGGGACAGCTGCTAAGTTCCCCCGGCTTGCGTGTCTGTTCTCTGCTGTTCCCTGCAGCACAAACCCAAGACAGCTCTAAAGGTGGAGAGCATTCCCCTTAGGCAGCAAGTAGGGATTTGGGTTCAGCAGCTGTGAGCTACGGAAACATGGGTATCAACTCTGAATGAAAAGGGTGCAACGTTGGCACAGGGGACATGCCTGGTCCGTGAGGAAGGAAAGAAAGATTGCCTAGGGTTGGAGACCACATTGTTCAACAGAAACTGCCTTCTAGCACTCAGGAGTCTCCTTGGTGCTTTCCTCACAAACTACCAATCTGCTGCCCGTGATGTGTGAAAGCAAAGCAGTGTTTAAAGCCCTAAGCTGGGGGTCGGGAGACATGGGCTTCATCCAGTCCTGTGACTTCCTTTTAAGACTTTGGACAGGCCATGCTCCCATTCTGGGATTCAGTATCCTCCCTCATAAAATAAGGGAGTTGAGTTGGGGGTCCCTGAGCCCTCTCCCAGCCCCGCCAGCCCCCACAGCCAAGGTTAGCTCTAAGACCTGCATGTGGGGCCTGCCTGAATCCACCACAGCTCACAAACATTATTAGAACAGAAGTCCTAGTCGGATTTCATTTTTCTTCCAAGGCTGTTTATTGCCTAACAAAATGTACTTAGTGGTAAATTCGTGACTGTGATGTTAAGTGTAGGCTACGAAACCAGAGACAAAAAATATAGTTAGGGGAGGGGTGTGCAGCACAAAGCCAGAAGAGGGAGAGTTATGCAGAGGGTGGGGAAGCCTTGAATTCACAGGAGCATCTCATAAACACAGGCACCGTTGCTTATTTATGCACATCCTATGCCCTGTCTGGGTTCCGCGTGGTCTCCACTTCGTGTTAGCTTTTCAGCTGCACACCAGGCCCCAGCTGGTAGTGGCTAATTGCAATCAGCAGGTGAGAAATGTAGGTTCTCCGAAAAGGAATTATCTCCAGCACTGGGAACCATTCTGGGAAATGTAACAGACCTGGGAAGAGAGGGGGAGATGTTTAAAACCTGAACTTCTGTGAAAAGCATTAATTGAAAAAGACAGCACCGCGCACCAGGAACCCATGACTTGCTCGCCTGAAAATATAATGAAGCGACTTAGTGTGGAAGGAAAGATGGGGGAGCATTTCCATTTCTGCACAAGCAGCTCCTGCCTTGTGCACACAAGCCCTGCCTGCCCTCTTTTTCCAAGAGACCCAGAGAGCACAAAGGTTTGTTCTTGTAATTTCATGGTTACCTTTACATTTTTTTCTGCGCGAGTAAAATGACTTCACCAAACTAAGGACTTTTTATTTATTTTTAAAAGACAGACTGCATGCAATCTACTCTGTAGCTGAATGGCTTTACGAAGTAAGTTCAAAGTAGGTTCACAGTGTCTCGAGGTCACTGAACACCAGGTGTTCATTCAGCCTAGTGCCAAGTAAGAGAGTGGGACATGGGTGCAGCCATATACCCTAAAATGTTATTCAGCTACTTGGGGAAGTGAGCCCTGAGTCAGGGAGCAAAGTCCTGGCTGAAGGCTTGTCTGTGTCCCCCGCCTTAGGCTGCTCTCTGTGGCTCCTGTCAGAAGCACCTAGGGACAGGAGAAGGGCCTGCCTGGGTGGCCTTCATAGGTCTTACTGGCTGGCCCTGTGAAAACCCACCTGATCACCCACAGATTCGGCTTCTCTCTGTGTGTTATCAGAAAAGGGAGTGAAAAGCGTACCAGAGGGGTGATGTGAATTTCATTTTCTCAATATGTCCCCCTGTGGGGAACGCTGCGTGGTGTGCATGCTGATTCAAAGAAAATTGTCTCTGCTCACAGGGGTTTAAGGCTAGTCATGGGCAGCTCACATTACACAGAGCTGAGAGGCGCCCTGAAAACCACCTGGGGAGGCCACACAACCAGGGGACTGGCCCAGCCACCTTTATGGAGAGGCTGCGTGATCTGGGCAGGCCCCAGAAGCCCTGAGGACTGCTGTGTCATCATCTATAAAACCAGCGAATTGAATGCCACGACCCTTCACCTCACTTCGCCTCTTGGATTCCACAAAAGGCAAATGCTAAGATGTGGCTTCAAATACAAAAGATTCGCTCCCCAAAATAAATGTTGCCTGGGGGTTGGGGGAGGGTGGGTGGCTTTGTCGTTTCTTCCTTTTGGTTGTTTGTAGGACAAAGGGGAGGGGGAGGTTAGGCTCCAGAGTCCATCTCAAAAAGAATCACAGTCCCTGGTGGGAGGTCAGACTAAGGACAGATACTCTGACAGGCCAGGGAATCTTTGTACACCTGCAAGTACTCCCCCTCCTTCAACTCCCCAGCCACCTCATGGGCCAAAGGAATGTCAGAGGAGAGATTAAAGTCTCAAGGGGAGGAGATAAAGAGGCCTTGAGACCTTCAGCCTTGGAGCCAAACCCCAGGCTTTGTGATCAAAAGACAAATAAACAGCAATTCCCACTGGGTCTCTCAAATCTGCTGAGCGGCACAAATGTTTCCTCTTTATAAACAAGCTTACCTGGAGAAGGCAAAGAAAACCAGACCCTGAAATCCCACGCCGTTTTTGGCAGACCCCTCAGGAGAAACTGCTGCAGACAGCTTATCAAGTGCCTTTCTTATAGCTCTCTGAAATAAGATGTCCAAGTTTGATAATAAACTGCAAACAAACGGAATCAGCCCACTCGTCATACCAGCTTCCTCATCCTGACACAGGGAAGGTTTCAAGTATGAGAAGGTTTACAATTAGAAGTCGCCAGAAGGATTTCAGAGGCCACTGGATCAGGAAGATGAACAGACAGAGTGGATCGCCTGTGGCCTCTTTTCAACAAATATTAGGCTCTGTACTGCCAAATTGCACAATTCTAGGGGGCAGTATTCACATTGAAGTCTATAAAGCTGTGTTCCAGGGGGCATCATTCAATGGGGAATGCAGTGCCAATGGTGTCCTGTGGAGTGAAGAAAGACAAAGGCCACAATGAGTGCCCACTAGGTGCCACCACTTGGATACACCAGAGCACATATAAAGCAAATCTCTGCCCCAGTGACACTTACCTTCTCATTAGTAAGTTACGTAGGAAGGTAGACGGCAATGGCCGCCATAGTAAGACTATATTAGCATGAAGAGTGGGGAGGGTTGCAATTTATAGTAGGGTGGTCAGGGAAAAGTTCATGAAGATGAAGTTACTTTAGAGCAAAGATGTGAAGAAATGAGAGAGTGAAACCTGTCAGAAGGCTCTCTAGGGTAAGAGGGATCCAGGTAGAGAGGACAGTGAGCACAAATGTCTTAAGGCAAGAGCATGCCTGGTAGAGCCAAAGTGCACCATGGGAGCCAGTGGAGCTCAAGTGGAGAGGCTGAGTGTGTCTCTGCAGGTCCTGAGTGCAGTAGAGAATCACAGAACATTATCGCTGGTGCCCTCACTGCTCCATCAGCCTGCTCTGCCAGGCTGGGATCTCAGTAGCCACCTCACAGGGTTCACAGGACTCCTTAGTTCTCCATTAACTAACACCTAGTCTCGGATATAGTCCCGTTTAATTAATAACCAACTAGGAGTAATGCCCCACCCCTCTGAGTCCCTAGCTCACCTGCATTTCAATGAGGGTGGCTGTAAAGACAAGTCAGGCTTCAGACCTCAAGCAGCAATCTTGGAATGCTGTGAGAGGACTGAGAGATGCTGAATTCTCCCTGCTTTGAAGTGCTGGGGACCTAAGACCATGGGGTCTCCCACATAATTCCCTGCCACCGTCATCTGAGCAGGGCTCCTCATAGTGTGTCTTGGAGATGGAGACACGTAGAAAGAGAGAGGGTGACTTAAGGTGTCCCTCACCAACTCCCCCAGGCTTACTGCAGAGACAACACCCTCTTTCTTCTCCTATCTCACCATACACAGAGTGATCGAATGAAAGTTTGCCTGACCCTCCCCCACCACCTTTTCCCACAAGAAAGTGGAGTAACCAATGGAGAAAATGAACTGCATCTTGGACTCATCTGATTTTGCTCAGAATCTCTGGCTCAAGCATCTAAGATTGATTCGGTCTCTGTCATACTTACGTACTCAAATGCCCTGGCACAAAGAGTAATGCAAGCAGTGTCTACCCTGCTCAATGTGAGATGGGGCTTGAGGGGGTGACCCAGGCATTTTGATGACAAGTTTGTGGCTGAGCGCCCAGAAGATTTCTTTGGCCAGGACCTCCTCATTTGCTTTCCAGCATTTATCAACACCAGCAATGTGCCATGCCAACAGAGCCTCTAAGCAGAGGCGACACTGGAAGCAGGAAGCCTGTTCTCCTGGAATCCTGGGGGACCTGGGCTCCACTGCAAGGCTGTGTGACTGTATCAGTTAAGGTTCAGTCAGAGAAGCAGAACCACCATGAGGGTCTAGAATAAGGGCTTTATGATAGGGACTGGACCTTCCACAGGTGTCGAATCTGATTAAGCAGTCTATGTAGGTCTGTTGCTCTGCATCTAGCTTTGATCCTGAACACAGTAGAGTTTGCTGTCAGGAAGGAGACACGCACATGAAATCGGGGAGAACATGGACAAACTAGAACCCACCCTGGACAGACGAAAACCCCATCAGTTTCTCACCATCTTCAACTTTACTGATGCAGGTGACCTGCAGGCTAGGCCAGTGCCCTTTACCAACATAGTTGCACACATGCCCAGTCTTGGGACCCCAGAAAGCCAAGGGAGGAGGCCTGGATGGGACTGGAGAGGTTGCAGGCCTGGCTGTCACCCACATCAGCAAAGTAAGCCTTCAGATCAGTGATGACACCTGTGAGCTGCAACAGTGCCCACTGGCCCTTCTCCTGACAGTCAGAGCATAGGCATGACTGCTGCTTCACTTCCACCTACAAATTACACACAAACTTCTCTTCTGACCAACTCCAACCAGAGAGAAAAAGAGAAAGGAATTCTGGGAAACACAGTTCCAGCTTAGCTACTACAGTACAAAGCCACCACAGTGACTTTGACATCAAGCCTCAGTTTCCTTGCCTGTAACATCTAGGGGTTGGCCTAAAGAAAACTGTTTGGGGTATCCACCATACGAGGAGCAGCTTATTTTCTCACTCATCTGAAAACCAGCTAGGAAAGCATGCTGTACCAGGTCTACCCGCAGTGTGTGCTGAGGTGCCAAGAGAGCTCCAATACTATTGCAGCTTTGGGAGTCTCCATTGGCTGGAATGACTCCAGCATCTTAGCCCTAATCCTAAGAGGAACTCCATGTTCTGAGCACATGCACCTTGTGCCATTTCCCCCCCTTATCCAGGCCAGGAGGAGAGAAGCATTATCATCTGTCTTCCCAGGTGGTAAACCTCAGATCCAGCATGCTGCTGGACTGGCACCAGTCACCTGGTTAAGTGGTAGTTGCAGGTGGCAAAGATCCATGCTCCATCTTTAACATTCAGGCTGAGAAATTCCAGGAGATTGCAGAAAGACCTTTAGGCTGCCCACAATTCAATTAACAATCTGAACCCAAACATTTCACTAGGAATTCACCTCCTAGGTGATTCCAGAAAACTCTAATAAAACCTAAGGAGAATTTTTCTGAGCAAATAAATGTGAGCACTATGATCTGTGGGGAGCTTTCCGCAAAATATAACCTTTGCAGGCTCTACTTTTAGGCACCTGGAGGGGAAAGAGAAGTAAAGACCGTATACAATAAAGACAGATGTAAATTCAGAAAAGGAACTGGAAAAAAATTAAATTACTTAAGAAGAAAAGAAAAACATTCATTTACAACCAAAGAAATGAAGCATGAAAAGAAAGTATCTTTTAAAGACTACCATACCATGGGCCTCAGCTTCCTCGTGGTGGAAAAGGGGCTAGACTTGATGATCTCCTCCAAAATTCCATGAGCTTAGGAGAGCATCGACAAAATCTAAATCGAGCTAAAGGAACCCACATCAGCATAAGCAAAATGCAAAGAAAGGAAGGAAAGAAAATGCCAGAAGGAATGTCTTAATTCATAGCACTTCTTGGAAAGAACTATCGTTTATTGTGAGACGAGTTGAGGCAACACTATAGGAGACTGTGATCTGGAAATTCTGCCCTCTGAACTTTTGTCCTGCAAGATGTATGACTGGAGCAAAGGTATGGTTCAACTGGAGCAAAGTGGTTCAGTTCCAAGCCAGGAGTCCTCAAGTTGCAGAGCGGGACCAGCAGGAAGGGCCAGCCTGGATGCGAGGGTCTGGGATATGGAACTCAGAAGGAGTCATCAAAGGCTTAAAAGTGGGAGAGGGAACTAAATTTGAGTTTCCTCAGCATTCAAAGTATCAAAAATTAAAGTTCAGAAACAAAATCCTAGCTTAGTGAATCACAATATTCTTGCTGAATCCTCACGCTCTCAATGGTTCAATTTAAACACAGCTTGTGTCTTTGTTGTTCTGCAGGCATAAAAGTTAGGCCTGGGCTCTCTGAAGGCAGGAATGCCCTAAATTAGAATTTAGTCGCAATATCTTTTTCTAGTGCAGGGGCTTGGCAAACTGTTTCTGTAAAGGGTCAGATACTAAATATATCAGGTTTTGTAGGCCCTACAGTCTCTGTTGCAACTACTCAACTCTGCCACTGTTACATGAAAGCAGCCATAGTCAATACATAAATGAGAGTGACCAGGTTCCAATAAAACTTTATTTACCAAAACAGGCACAGGCTAGATTTGGCCTGTGGGCCGTAGTTTGCTGACTACTGGTCTAGTATTTCCCTAGAAAGTTGAGTTTGCATGCGCTCAAAATATAGGCAAACTGAGGGTTTAAATTATGCATTATGTACAATTTGTACATGCTCTAATGCAGGGAAGGAGGAAGAAAATAAAGAGAAACAGTGCACAAAAAAGAGATTAAAGACAGCTGATTTTGTTTCAAAAGCCAGAGGGAGAAGAATGCAGAAAAGGACCACGAGGGGTAAAAGGCAAAATATGTTTTGTAAAGGTGGTGCACACACACTTGGATGAGCATGCAATAATGTAAAGAACACAGGACCAGAAATCAAGGAACCCAGACTCCAGGACGTTCTCTGCCCTGCCCAGCACCATCACAACCTCTCTCTCACCTCAGCTTTCTCTTTTGCAAAATGCAGAGCTTAGACAAATAGCTCTACTATTCTGTTACTCTGCCTAATTCCAGCCTCACAAAGTCCTCAAAATCCAGAGCCAAGCAGGAAACGAAGATGCAGGGCACTGCAGAGAGGGAGCTGTGGGAGTGAGCAGAGGTGGGGATTTCAGTCACCCCTGTCAGTGTCTCTCCATGAGGACAGATCCCTATCTTCTTCCTACAGCACATTATGCTGAAGACATAGCCAAGCTTGTGCATAAATAAACAATTTAATCAGCAGCCCAAAGTTTCCTTTTATCACCCCATCTCCCGGCTAGACTGAATAATTATTTTCCATCTTCTAACTGCTGGACTGTTAAGCATGAGCCGAGGCAAACAGAACACCAGGCATTGCTGAAAACCATCACAGCCCTAGTCTTTCAGGAATGCAATTCCCATGGTGGCTAGGTTTTAAAAAGACCTTGCAATTAAACCTCGTTCTTGGAATGATTGTGCTGTAGAGAAGGACTTCGCAGTGTGGGAGGAAGGGAATGTTTTACATATAGCATGACTGCTATCAGTGCCCTGGCCATTAACAAAGAAAACTATATACTGGTGAGATGCCAAGCAATGCCATCACCAGTCGGAATAGGGACAATATTTCTAAACTCCATCTGATGACCAACCCATTAGGACTCTCTCAGCCTTACTTCTCCACCTGTAAAATGGAGCAAGAAATGACTACCTTGTGTGGTTACTGTGGAGAATAAATCAGATAGTGAGGAAGAGTATATCACCTAGCTTCTAGCACATAGTGGGTCCTCTTTAAACAGCAGTTGCCTTGATATTATTAATGACTGATACAACTCAATTCTTACACAAGCAAGATCACTCTAATTGGGTGTGAGAATTGCAGGCCTTAAAAAAAGATGTTTTTCCTGCTCTTTATCAATCTTCCCATGGCATGTGCCTCCTACAAAGGCACTCCCCTGTAATAGGCTTGCGGTTGGTGTAGACACTATTTAAATTTGAGAAAAGGCATTATGGACCCCACCCATTGGCTGCCATTCCAACTGTGAGGCAGTGTTGACTTACGGAAGTAGATAGGAGCAAGGCTAACTCGGACTATAAAGTTTCTGGGTATCAGACATGCCATCCACTGAGTCACAGGTTTCTTTTGGCAGCTGCACAGTGGAAACACCCTTCCTGTCACTGAGGCCCTTCCCAAATCCACTCCCACTCCTGGCCTCTTCTCAGGCTGCTGTCCGTCTCACACAGCCCACCCATGTGGATGGCAGGGAGGGTAGCAACCTACCCCACAACCAAGGCCTTTTCTGGTCCCGACCTCACTGGCTCTCCACCTCCACAGTCCTTCTATAGGCTCATTGTGACTCATGGCAAGTCCTGCAGCTGTCTCCTG